AGGAGCAGGTGAGGGGTGGGACCTGCTGCCTGGGCAGGAGTTGGTGCCTTTCTCCTCCTGCCTCTACAGGTCTGTTTTATAGGGTTTGAAACTTGTATAATATAGGGAACCTGTTTAACAAAATGAACTCAAAATTTTGAATATGTTATGTGTAGAATGATTATGTAATTATGTAATTGCCCAAAGAAGCTACCAAAAATCACAAATTTCGAAAAGCAAATAGCGCTGACATCACAAAGTATGGAAAAATAGCACGTTTTCCCAGCTCATTGCCCCACCCACCAGTCTTTTCTACCTTACGTTGTTTTTGGCTGTGGACTCCAGGCATCTTTTCCGAGGGCGGAGGAGAATTATTTATTACTGTTATTGTTATCAATATTCAGCCTGTCCTTCCCAATTTTCCCGCTGCCCACGTATTCTCTGTCTTCTGTACAACCTCACCCCAAGGCCAGGGGAGCTGGCAGGGTAGGCCACTGGAGGGACCCTGGCCACCATGGCCATGGCGGGGTGGGGACCATTCACTGGACATCGAGGTGACTTCAGAGCACCTGCAGGGGCCCCTTAGGCCTGTGTCCACCCTGACCCAGAAGCAGGTGGAAGGGCAGGTGTCCGTGGCCTCTCCCCTTGACCTGAGAGCTTAGCAATAGTGAGTCTTCCACCCACAGTGCGTACTTTCTCTATTTATTTATTTCACTCTAAGTGTATTTTGCTAGTCTTTGTAGCCTTCAGGGCATAGATCTTGTACATACATTTTAAGCAATTTTCCTGAGACCTTGCTGTTTTTATGTCCTATTTAAAAAAGCATGGACACAAGCTTCAGCTGTATGTTCTCATAGAGAATTCTCCAGAATGCCCCACCTTTACCGGTTTAAGCTGTCCCACCCTCTGTATTTCTGTCCAGCCACCTTGCCCTCCGCCCCAGCCCCAGCAAGGCACTCAGTTCCACCCGTTCTCCCAGCCCCTGACGCCCCCAAGGCCCTAAAACTGTACAAGGCCGAGCCTGCTCAAAGGCTGTGCTCTAAGGGCCTGCCCCGTGTCCACTACGTGCTATGTGTACAACAGTCTGCCTTCTCTGCCCCGTTTCCCCTTGTCCTCCCTCTTTCCCAACATCTGGTCCCCTGTCTGTGTGCTTCTTTCCCTGCACTGATACTAGATTACTTATTTATTGGAAAGACAGATTGACAGAGAGGAGGAGAGACAGGGAGAAAGATCCTCTGTCCATTGGTTCATTCCCCAAGTGGCTGCAATGGCCAGAGCTGAGCCTATCCAAAGCCAGGAGCCAGGAGGCTTCTTCTAGGTTTCCCATGCAGGTGCAGGATCCCGAGGCTTTGGGCCATCCTTGACTGCTTTCCCAGGCCACAAGCAGGGAGCTGGATGGAAAGTGGAGTAGCTGGGTTATTAACTGGCATGTGTAGGGGATCCCAGCTTCTGCAATCAAGGATTTAGCCACTAGGCAACCACGCTGGACCCAGATACTTTTTAAAAAAAAGATTTATTTTATTTTTATTTGAAAGGCAGAGTTACACAGAGAGAGGAGACAGAATCTTCCATCTGCTACTTAACTCCCCAAATGGCCTCAAAGGTCAGAGCTGGGCTGGTTTGAAGCCAGGAGCCAGAAGCTTCTTCCAGGTCTCCCACGTGGGTGCAGTAGTTGGGCCATCTGCCACTGTTTTCCTAGGATATGAGCAGGAAGCTGGATTGGAAGTGAGGCAGCTGGGACAGGGAGTGGCTCCGACACCACTAGAGAAGACTTTGTTCGCTATGCCACAGTGCCTGCCCCAATAATGAATACTTGTAAAGGTTAAGTTTGAATAGTTTGTGGCTGATACACTGATGTATATTGAGCTTGTTAGCTTTCAAGTTTGCCTTCACAAACCCGAAACACCAGACGCTGTGAGTCAAGCAGGAGGGTTTTTGTTTGTTTCAAAAACATATATATTTAATATATATTATATTCAATCAATATATAGAATGTATATATTTAATATATGATACACAACCTATCATATAATATACAATGTTATATATTAATAGTATAATATATAAATATCAATAGTAAAATATAATCCAAAAATCTAATATTATGTTTAATATATTAAACAAATTTACATATTTAAGATTTTATTTTTATTGGAATGGTAGCTATACAGATAGAAGGAGATACAGAGAGTAAGATCTTCCGTCCACTGGGTTACTCCCCAGGTGGCTGCAGTGACCGGAGCTGAGCCCATCAGAAGCCAGGAGCCAGTCTCTTGTGCAGGTGCAGGGTACCGTGTGGGAGATTTTAATCCAGCAGGGAGGTTGGCTGTGAGGATGGGAGCGGAGGCAGACAGACAGCATATGCACAGTCAGGAACATGTTTTTATGACCATAGCATGGGTACTGGGAGCATGGGGCCCGTGCGGGATTGGCAGATAAGGCCATGGGCGGGCCACCAAGGACTGGTGGATAGGACCGCCAGGTGTGGTGTCATGAGGTTACAGCAGATGGGTGGGAACAGGGTAATGAGATTGGCAGGTTTAGCAGACTGGCAGATAACCAAATTGAACCTAAAGTGCACGGAGTTTGTAGATACAAATCGTGGGAAGGAGGACCAGACCATAGGGAAGCAGGCATTCAAAATGCTGCTGGGTCCAAAATGGCGGGGTCTTGTCACTCTTCGGGGCCTGTGTTGAGTCACTCCCCACAGAGCTGTTAGCTGTGACACGAGTAAACTCATTTATTCTAGCACTGTCTTCTGTAGGTTCTTAAGAACTCTGTCAGCGTCATATCATGCGTAATTAAAGGCAGTCTTAATTGCACTTGTCAATCTTTTCACTGTTCCTTTCTTTGCTTCTTTCTCTTGCCTCCTGATTGAGCAACAGCTGACGATCCCACTTTGGGTGCAGTCCTGAGCCAGACCTTGACCTTGCCAGGGGGTGTGGGGCTCCCCGCCTTTTCTGCATATGACTTTGAGGCTACAGAACTGTGCAGGGAGGACTCTGGGAGGACTCTGGGAGGACTCAGGGGCCCCTAGCCCCCTTCTGCAGCGGCTCTGGGGACCCTTGTAGTTGGGAAACTGAGCAACAGAACAAGGCCAGGAAAGCTGGCTTTTGTCATGCCCTACAGGGGTGGCCAGGATGGCTTGTGGGGGGACCCTTCACAAAGGAGCTTGGGGTGCAAGGTGGTCACAATGGGGTGTGTCAGTCCACTACAGTCCTCCTTTGTCCATTCCCATGCTACAGTGTGGCTGACAAGTGAAACTGCCTACCAGGCACTGTCCTCTGCCCCTTCTCACTCTAAGCTGAATGGCACAGCTTGATCGGATGTCATTTTATTCAAATCACTTAAGACATTAGCATATCAAGCATGGTGGGCAGCTGTCCCTGTGTTTTGTGGAAAGGGCCAAGGATAAGTTGATAATCCCACACAGCTGGAAAGGACTGAGTGTCACGCCGTCCTTGTGTATTCCAGGAACACAGATGGCGCCGAGCCAGTTCTGGGACTTGTCCCCGGGAAGTCCCTGCCTTGCCTGAGCCCTCTGCAAGAAAGACCGCTGACTGGCAAATGCAACCGAAACAGAGTCAGCCAGGCTGTCTGTGGCCCACCCGGGAGGCGGCAGCAGCCCCCCTGGGGTGCCTGCCCAGCTGTGGAGCAGGACCCCCGAGCCAGGCTATCTGTGGAGAGGCCTTTGAGTTTCTCATTCAGAAGCAGCCTCGGTAGTGGCCCAGCATTTCCTCCTCTTTGGATCAACACCTTGCCCGTTTTGGTGCAGTTCCTCGGGTTTGTTTCTGCTCAGCTTAGGGATGCTGGTCTGCCAGGAGACGCAGAGAGAGGCTGGCAGCTTATCTTCTCTGCTGGGCTGCATGAGCCCGGCCCATATACCACCTCCTTGCCCTTGGCGTGTGTGCAGGACTGGGAGAATTCCAGCCCTAGACTCGTGTCAGCATCACCCTCATTTTGCTGTGCTATGATGGGCTGGGAGCAATAGATGGGGGTTAAATTGCAGCATGTTGGAGCTGGAATGGAGTCCGTGGACCCATTTTCAGCTTGAGAAGTGGAGGTTACCTGGCAGACAGAGGACGGCCCCTAGATGGCTCGGTCCGTTGTGGTAACTGCTAGACAGATTCTGGGGGCTGCTTTCTCTCCGGCCAATGAGTGCGTGAGTGAGCGAGCACGAATGGGAGGAGTGGCTCACATTTTAGCTGTAACTCATTTTAGCTGGAAAACCCTGTGCTGATATGCACCCCTGGTGTGGTGATTTAGCACACACCTGACCTGTGGAGTCCTCAAGACCAAGTAGGGCAAGGACCACGAGCACGAGGCTGTCACAGCGGCCTTTTGGCGTGAGTCACAGCATGCCTCACTCTCCCTTTGCTGGGGTCAAGCCTGCTGCTGGTCCCACCCCAGGAAGCTGGCCCAGGAGTCCAAGTGCTTGTTTACAGCTGTCACTGTGATGTTCACCAGGCTTTGCTGGGAAGGCACGGTTCCATCCACTGGAATCCAGGGAGGCACAGCTGTGACCACGGCTACCTCCATGCCCCGTGGGGAGGCCGGAAGTGAAGTGGGGAGGTGGTGGGTTTGCTGAGAAGGGGTCCCTGTGATGTATGTATGCTGTCCATTTAATATAGTGGTGACGCAAAGCCTGATTGACCTGTGGGGTTGGAAGGCCAAAGATGACCGGAAGTGACGGTAGAAGGAGAAAGAGGATTGGCACATGATAGCAGGGTGCCAGTGTGCCTTTGCTGGATTAGTCCCCCTGGAAGTTGTCCCAGGTCATTTTCTGAGAGGCAGGTGTGGCCCTGGCTCTGCCCCAGTGCGAATGGAGCTGGCTTACGCTGGTCCCAATAGCCACGGCGACAGCCACGCGGTCGTCTGTGGGCGTGCAGCTCGGACGGATCCGGGGCAGTGTCCAGGAGGCCCATGCGTGCATGCATGCGTGCAGGTGTGGGAGGGCGAGCGTGCTCCCTACCCTTCCCAGATGCAGGTGGCTTACGTGTCCCGTGTCTGCTTTTCTTCAGGGCAGGAAGACCCCCACAGTTTGCGGCACAAATACAACTTCATCGCTGACGTGGTGGAGAAGATCGCCCCGGCCGTGGTCCACATCGAGCTGTTTCGCAAGTAAAGAGGCCCTGCCTGGCTGTGTTTTTGTTTTCCTGCGTCTCCTCTCAAGCTCCACCAGCCAGCCCTGACATTAGCCCCAGTTAACAGTGTCCGAGGCCACTGTGTCCCTATGCTACCATCAGTGCTTGTCCTGTGGGAGGCTAGCCTAGATACACCCACATTCTCGACCATTCCAGATGTTGTAAGAATCTTTGGCTCTGAAGAGATTGTCTAAGTGGGATTCTTTGATGCATGCAAACGATTGGCCTAATATTTGTTCTTTTAAAGATTTATTTATTTTTTATTTGGAACGCAGAGTTATATAGAAAGGAGAGCCAGAGAGAGAGAGAGCCAGAGAGAGAGATCGATCTTCCATTTGCTGGTTTACCCCTAAAATGGCTTCAATGGCCAGAGCTGGGCCAATTTAAATGTAGGAGCCTGGAGCTTCTTCAGGGTCTCCCATGTGGGTACAAGGAAACAAGGCCTTGGGCCATCTTCAGCTATTAGCAGGGAGTTAGATCAGAGGTGGACCAACTGGGATTCGAACTGGCATCCGTATGGGATGCCGGGGGTTGTAAAGAGAGGCTTAACCTACTACTCCATGGCCAAGCCCCAACAGTTGTTTTTTTCAAATGTGATGCCCAGTGGATACACACAGGGACAGCCGGTAGGTGTGTGGCTGGTGCAGAACCCACCGATCCCGATCGGGAGATTCTGTGGCAAGGTATTTCGGACTAACAGGCGTGTCCTTCTGGCTCCAGGCTTCCTTTCTCTAAGAGGGAGGTGCCAGTGGCCAGTGGCTCTGGGTTTATCGTGTCGGAAGATGGACTGATTGTGACCAATGCCCACGTGGTGACCAACAAGCACCGGGTCAAGGTCGAGCTGAAGAACGGGGCCACCTACGAAGCCAAAATCAAGGATGTGGATGAGAAGGCAGATATTGCGCTCATCAAAATTGACCACCAGGTGAGAGGGTCTCCATGCCAGCCAGCCTGCGGGCCCAGCTCTCAGGTGTCAACCAGAAAGGTTGCAAAGGCTGAGGTGGGAAAGACACCGGCGGTGTGTGATCTCCTGGGATTCCCAGGGTGTGAGAAGAAGCTAGCTTGAACCAGTTGGGCCTGGTCTGGAGGCAGCATAGGATAGTAGCTTACTGGTGACAGAGGGGAACCTGCTGGGGCACAGGGAACCTTCTGGAAGAGACTAGTTATCAGATCACAGTTTTGTTTTAAATAGCTGTGTGGGTTTTTTTTTTTTTAAAGATTTATTTTTATTATTTTTTATTGGAAAGGCGGATATACAGAGAGGAGAGACAGAGAGGAAGATCTTCCGTCCGATGATTCACTCCCCAAGTGAGCCGCAACGGGCCGATACTATGCCAATCCGAAGCCAGGAGCCTCTTCCGGGTCTCCCACGCGGGTGCAGGGTCCCAAAGCTTTGGGCCGTCCTCAGCTGCTTTCCCAGGCCACAGGCAGGGAGCTGGAAGGGAAGTGGGGCTGCCGGGATTAGAACCGGCGCCCATATGGGATCCCGGGCGTGCAAGGCGAGGACCTAACCACTTGCGCCACCGCGCCGGGCCCAATAGCTGTGTGGGTTTTTAAAATATTTGAGAGGCAGAGAGAGAGGGGGCGGCTTCTCCATATTGCTGTGATGGCTGGGGTGTGGCTAGACTGAACTAGGAGCTTCATCCTGGGTTCCCACCTAGGTGGAGGGACCCCAGAAGCTGAAGTCAGGTGCAGTTCTAGGGCCAACCAGGTAGTCCAGCATGCCATCCCGTGTCTTAACCCTCAACCCCCACCACAGACTGGCGATTTTCAAATAGTGTTTTAAATGTTTGTAAAGGAAAGTGGTAGGTTTGTAAAGGTAAGATCCGGAGATAATCAGTACAGCCTGAGCCTGCATCCCTCCCAGCCTTGGTCCCTGGGCCCCTGTGGTCACAGCAGTTGGCCGTGCTGCGCAGATGGGCCCTGATTCAGACTGTGCACATGGCCTAGTTTGTCGACTGAGTCACCACTCACATGTAAACCCTTGCCCGGAAGATCTGCTAGGCCTCTGAAATTGGGGCTTTTGCCAGTTTACTAGATGACTTAAGAAAGTTTTGGAAAACTTGAATTGTGGTAGATTTCTTCCTTAACTTCTCTGAGTCTTTCCTGGGTGATGGTGTGTGGGGCTGCCCTCTAAGTGGGTAGATTCTGCAGTCTTTTCCCCAGTTGGGTGATCTGAACATGTACCTCTGGGGAGTGAGGGGTGGGCCGGGAACTGAGGCGAGGTGACTCAGCCTGGGAAATGCTGTGTTTGAACATGCCTTCCATGGACACATGTTCCCTGTAGTCAGCTTCCTCTGTTGATTTGTTCATCTTTATTCCTGAAACCGCATTCAATTCCAGTTGTCCATCAAAGGCTTCCATGCGTCAATGCACTGATCAGCAGGTGTGTGTGTGGCCCTGTGCGCTGAGATCATGTTTTCTGGTTTGTTCTGGCCCTTGCAATTCCCTACATTTCAAATGTGAGGAATAAGCAGGGTGAGCAGGAGTCCTGGCCCCAGCCGAGGCAGGCACCCAGCACCGAAGGCCAGGTCAGAGCCTCTGGCCCGTTCCCTGGCTGTCTCGGCTGTGCACTCGTACCAACGCTGCTGGCGGCATCCACGGAGCTTGCCATGAACCTCTTCTAGAAGCGACTCCCGGTCCTGTTTGCACAGTGGGATTCTAGACTCTGGAGCTTCTTGTGGGGTGGTTTTTTGTTTTGTTTTGTTTTGTTTTGTTTTGTTTTGTTTTGTTTTTTTTACAGCTCAGCCAGCCTTTTGCAAGCTTGCAACTGTGTATTGTTTCTATCTGGCTGCTATGGAATTTCCAGCAGGGCTGCGTGGTTTTGGTCCCAAGGGCATCATTGGGCCAGGCTTTGCCTTCATGTGTGGCGTCCACCTGGTCAGCAGCATAGCTGTGTCATTGCCATCTGATAGAGGAACAAAACCTGACTCAGAGGCCCTCAAGAGCCCGGTGTTGTCCATGTGGCTGCACCTCAATGTGGTAGCCTCCTAGGCCAGCCTGGTTGCTCTTGGGCAAGTGCCCAGGTCCATGGCCCTGCTCAAGGGATGGAGGCTGGCCTGTTTATGTGCTGGGATGACTTGACCTTAAATAGCCCAGAGAAGGCTGGCGCATCCCATTTAGGAACACACTGCTGGAGAGGTGTGCAGGATGTGGTAGTCCCTCCGGAAGGAGGCCGCTGCGGCTCTGCCTGTGGCCACACACGCGAGCTCCAGCCCCACCCCAGTCCCTAGAAGGCAGCCAGCCAGCCGGGGGCCAGTTGGCCGTGTACAGGGAGGACACCAGCTGCGCCATGTGTGCTGCCCTTGAGGATACATTCTGAGTGCGTGGGTACAGCCTGGACAGCTGTTTCTACCTCCCGGGAAATATTCTTCTCTGATTTTTGAGCCAAGGTGGAGACTGGATCCCGTCCGTCTCTGACATGTCCAGGCACGTGGGAAGGGCCTCTACGTGGATGGATTTTGCAGGCCTGATTTGGGATTTCCCTCAGGGGTCTGGCTCTTCAGCCTGCTGCGTGCTACTAACCATGTGCCTTGAGGACTCTGAGAAGCAAGCACAATGAAAAATGGAACATTCGTGGCTTTTCGAAACGGAATGGGAAATGAAAGGGTGTGAAATTTCAGGCACCCACACCAAAGCCTGGCCGCGTGGACTAAACTGCTGGTGGGCAGTGGAGCTGAGACTCACCACGTCCCCGCCAGCTCTTTGTCCTTTGTGCCGTGTGTGATGGCGGCTGCTTGAGGAAGGATCTGGCTTGGCAGGAGCAAGTGGGAGCATCGTGTCCCACCCTAGCTAGGGCAGTGGCGGGGATGTATGCTGGCTTCCTGGCTTCTTGGCATTGTGGGCATAGGAGAGGAGAACCCCAGGAGAGCCCAGAGCAGAACAGAACCAGCTGAACTCTGGGAATGAGAGTTGCTCCAGATGTGCCTGTGGCCTGGCCTCCAAAGGGACGCATGCGAAATGGCCCCATGCGGCAGCTGTGGCTCTGGGGAGCTCTCGGGAGCTCACTCGGGGGACTCAGGTCCTACCCAGCCCTGAGAGGTCACCTGGAGAGCTAGTGCCTTGTCCTTCCTGAGCCAGGACCCCTTCCACTTTCCATGACCGTCCACTGTCCCAGTTGACTCTATACCCCCTCCCTGCCATCCCTGGGACAGCAGTCAGGCTGGCCTTCCCAGGAGGACAGCTTTGGTGGGATGGTCCATCAGTCAGTTACGTGGACTCCCCCTGGATGATCACCCATGGCCCAGTGGAGCCAGCAGGTGCCCACCTGGCTGCTGAGGTCTTTTGTGGGGAGCCCGGCCCTGCCCAGCGTGTCTACTTTCCCTCCCGTTCCTGGAGTGCCCTTTGACTCTCCAGAGACTTGATGCTGCTGGCCTTGAAGCTGCCAGAGATGTTTCTGGGCATGTGACCAAAGAACTCTGTGTGTGTGTGTGTGTGTGTGTGTGTGTGTGTGTGTGTGTTGTTGTTGGTCTAATTTTGCCTCTCCCTGCTGAGTAGACATGTACGCACTCACTTTTCTGTTGTCTTGAGGCTGGAGAGGACTTCTTGGGGAAGACTCGCCCCCTACAAGCCCCCTCACCTGGCATGCAGGCCATGGGCTCCCATCCTGCTGGCCGTCCCCTTCAATGTCACTATCCCTGGGACGCCCCCGCTTGCCCCTGTCCCTGGGCTGGTGTCAGCAGCGGCCTGAAGAAAGGAGTGGCCAGCTGCAGGATGCGGGGGCAGGGAGTATGTAAGCATGTTAATAGAAAGCAGCTTCGAGGGTCACGCGATCGGCTCCAGATGGAAACTGCTTCCACGTATGCTGACAGGCGCACTGGCCAGGTGGGCTGGCATGCACTGGCAGTGTTCCGTTCCGCAGTAAGCGGGAGAGATGGCAGAGGAAGAGAGCGAGACGTGGGAAGAGAGGCCAGACTTGGAAGGGTGGAGCCACGAGGAGGTGTTGCAGGGACAGGGCCCTTTGTCACCACTGCTGTTGCAGGTGTGAGCCTGGAGATCCTAGGAGCGCATCCTTCGGATCCTGGCTGTGTGTTCTGCACAAAGCCCTTAGAGGTGCTCCGCTGTTAAAAAGAAAACACTGCATTTGTAAAAACAGAGAAATAAAGAGTCAGAGAGATCACCTATCTGCTGGCTTACTTCTCAGAAGGCTGCCAGAGCTGGGGCCGGGCAGGCCAACGCCAGGAGGCAGGAACTCTGTCCTGATGGGCACTGAGCCAGCCCCTGCTGCCTTCCAGGCCGTGCCTTCATGGGAAGCTGGGAGCTACAGGGGAACCGGGACTGGAACCTGGGCCCTCTGATCCACTGCCTGCCCTGCAAAAGGGTCTGAGCTCCTTTCCAGTGCCTTGCAGGGTGGACCTGATGCGGGGGCATCCTCCCACCTGCCCCACGCCACCCACCTGTCTGTCTTGCCAGGCCAGGGTGTCCCCAGGGGCTGGTCCCAGGGCAGTCTTAACAACAGATCCTGCACTCTGCAGGCCTGCCAGGGAGTTCTGCCTGGATGTCCTCCCCCTCCCTTCCTGACCCTGGGCCCAGTCCCCTCCACGCCACCCTGTCACTCTGGGGACATGACAACTCCAGAGATGACCTTGATCAGACCGCATTCCACTCCGGACTTGGCGCTGCTCATTTCCGTCCCCAGTTGTAACTGTCTCGTGTTTATTTGTTCATGTCAGCGGCTTGGGATGAAGGCCCCAGGGGTGTCTCAGGCAGCGGGCACTGGGCAGTGTCGGTGGGAACCCCAGTGTCCACTGCTCAGAGTGGACTGAGCTGAGTTCCCTCCTCACCAACCCACCACTGGCTAGAGGCCTGTGCTAAGCACTGGGGGTTCATGTGCTGGGTGTTCTCCAGTTTCCAGATAAGCAGGGGCCCATGGAGTGGGCTGGGGGCAGGCCCACCCTCCAGCTCTCCTTCCCCGAGTTTGGGCGG